AAAAAAAAAAAAAAAAAACAATGGCCGCTTCCGTTTCTTTGTTCACTGGCGTCGGCCTCAGGCACCCCCTCACCGGTCCTGCTGCCCTGTTTCCCTAGTATCCAGGACACCACGCATGCACTGTGTCTGCGCTCTGGTCCGGAATCCTGGGGCTGGGTTTTCAGCAGTCCTGGGCTCCTTCTGCCTCCCTGCTGACTCCTCTCCTCCCACCGGGAGCTGGGGGGAGGGGCGCTCGGGTCACGCTGGACCCGGACTTGTATCTTACCCCCTTCACGAGGTGCTGGTTTTTCTCAGGTGTGTATGTGGTCTGGATGTTGTCCTGTGTCCTCTGGTCTCTATTTTAGGAAGTATTGTCTTTGTTATATTTTCATAGATATATGTGATTTTGGGAGGAGATTTCTGCTGCTCTACTCACGCCACCATCTTGGCTCCACCTGCAAGTTTTGTGTTTTATAAGGGCATGGTTTGTGGCACTCCAAAACAATTCTAATAACAGCATCAAACATCACTGATCACAGATTACCATAACAAATAATAATAATGAAAAAGTTTGAAGTACTGTAAAAATAACCAAAATGCGACACATGAAGTGAGACATGAAGTGAGAAAATGCTGTTGGAAAAATGGCACAGATAGACTGGCTTGACAGTGTTACCACAAACCTTCAATTTGTAAAAAATGCAATATATACAAAGTACAATAAAATGAGGTGTGCCTGTATGTCTCAGCAGAATGACCTATGGAAAATTTGAACACTATAGGGTATAATAAGGAAACATGAGGCAGGTCACAAACAACAATCATGGAGTCTAAAGTTCTATCATAAGAGACTTATGCCTTTGCTTTTAAAGGAATTCCAGAGTATTATATTAAAATATAATTGTCTTTAGGAGGAGAATAATCTAAGAAGTTGCCAATTAAAACACTATTAGGAAGGAATGTGGGTACAAGTCTATAGAAATATAGAATAGGTAATGGGGAGAACAGGAAGAAAGGATGCTAAGCTTAGGCCTATTTTATAATTTTTCCTAGAGCAGGTTGTATGTGTAAAGATTCGTGAGCTTGTTTTACAATTGTAAACATTTTTAAATAGTCTTTACCTTCTAAGGCAGAGGTTGAAATCCAGAAAAAGGAAGAAGTATTAATGATAGAATAAAGGAAGAGGGGCTAAAAATATCCCTTATACACATTTGGAAGTACAGCTTAATTACAATGAGATAGATTAAATTTTAAGAGTTTTAGAACTGGAAGAAACTATAGAGATAATCTAACTTAGCACCCTCATTTTATATATGAGTAACCTGAGACCTAGAGAGAGTGCGTATCTTGAAATGCTGTTAAATCAATGACAGTGATGGCTATGATCACTAAACGTTTTGGGAGATTAAGAAGTAGTCTTTGGAAGTTTAGATTCAATTGCCATTTTAATTAAGTGGAATAAATTAATTTTAGTTTTGATGTTTTTGATAGTACTAGTAGGGTTCCATGTAAGAAGCCCGAGTAGCCTAGTACAAAGCTGGGATATTTTTTCTAATACTAGAGGACAAGGTTTAATGATGAGGTTATGCTTAATACCTGTCAAGATTCGACATTGTCTCTTTCAACCATGACAATATATGTACTGATTTCAGCTCTATACAGTGCAAAGGGGAAATCTCTTTGCCATGAGAAAAATCACTTAGAAATTACAACATAAACCAAGAAGTAAATCACTAGATAGAAATACAAGGCCAAATAACAGCACCTGTCGCTGGGAAATGTAGGAAAATTATGAAGAAATGAAGCTTTTTATCTCTTGAAAGGTGCTAAAAAAACAGTGGAAATAATATAAAAAATCTGTAAATCAGTGCTATAGTCTATGTCATTTTAAAGGTGAGATGTGCTTTTCCAGCTGAACTTTCTCATTCAGAGAGGATGTTGCTCATTTTCATTCTGACTGTTTGTGTTCACCTGGCAGAATCTCACTATTCATTGATGTTCTGGTTATTTCTTATCAGCTGTCCCAGTTTTGTCCTTCCAATCAAATAATTCTGACTGCACAGAAAACATGTTTACTTATGGCAGCTGCAGTTGATATAGAGCAAGGGAGAAATGCTTCAACAACTTTGGAACAGGTAATGTGCTACCTTCCACGAAATTACAGGAGTTCAGAGTGCTATTTGATATGTTTGCCTCTCTGATGCATATGTTTCATTCTCTTTAGAAAATCCTTTCCTCCATTCCAGCAGCATCTTGATTGAAAGGTTTGTAATGGCTAACTCCATCCTAAGGAGTCACATTTGGCTTGGCCTCTTTTAAAAAGATTGAATATCTCTTTCTTTAAAATGCCCCTTTCCATAGGCCACTCTTTCCAAATCTGTCTTTAAATATTCATCGTTATTATCTCCCTGTGATACGTGGTCCATACTAGTGTTTTCTCTATTTTTGTTTCCTTGTACACATTCTATAAAGAACTCGTCTACTTCCACAGCTTTGATAGCCATCTGAAATTATTTATTTGGCTTGTTTCTGTTCACACAAATGCATTTGCTTTCCTTGGCCTACATCCTTAAATATTTTATCATTAACTCAATTTTGACAACAAGAAGACAAAATTCCTGCCTTTGCCTCAATTCCACTTAGTTTCTTAAACTGTACCTTTCTTTGGGAGATGCCAACATCAGTGTCTCAGTCTTCCACACACCAGAGTATTGATGTGTCTTTAGCTCTTTACCTTCCTTTTTTCAAGCTAAGAAAATTGTCTCCAAGTTGGACCACTAGCACTTTTTGTATGATTTTACTATCTACATCTCTCTATTTTTTTATCCTACTTAAACAAAGAAAATTTCCCAATTTGCCATACTTGTCAGCTTCTTTTCTTTCCAGTTGATATAAAATCCTTGCTGTATGTGGTCTTCCTTCTGTTAATCTCTTATTCATGTGATTCCTCAGATCTGGAATAAACTCACCAGGTGCCTGCCAACATATTTTTTCCCTTATTTTCTCTTCCCTTGAGTTCAACTCAAAAAACATTTGAGTACCAAGCACTTTACTAGGTCCAGGGGATAAAGAAGACAAAGTCTGTCCTTAAGGAATAAAGGGGTCCCTTTTTAGAAACCTTTCCATTTTAAGAAGATGAAAAAAGAATCTATGTGCCCCAGAGCAAAGCCAAAACCAACAAGTAAGGGTAAATGTAATTTTTTTCCTCATTTAGGGTCTTTTGCTTTACTGGAAAATAGTAATCACATCTTGATTCTGCATAGTGCTTTTGACTTTTTTCAAATTTTTCCCTATAAGTTGGTAGTCCTGACGTGGTCACATTTTTTATGCCATTGAATAGAAATCAAACTGATGTATGGGAGATTTCACAAACTGTTCAGTACAATCCTTAATTATTTTATTTGTTTCTAAGAACTGTCCTTTTTTCTGTGTTCTTTCTCTTGCACACCCTTATGTTTCCTAAGAATTCTCTAACCTAGTAACTCTTTTATAATGTTCTTTGCTTTTCAAAGGATATTTATTTAGGTAATTGAAGATACACTTAAGCCTTTCACCATCTAGGTCTGGTCCCTATGAATTAGACTGTGGTATTCTGTGTCTTTAAGGAAGACTTGTTGAATTCTATTATATACATCTGTTCCCTATTCTTTAAATCCTCATAAATTGTAGTATTTCCAAATAAGTAGATGATGGAGAAATATATATAGACTGCATAGTCCTATCAACATTAAAAAGATTGAATATCTCTTTCTTTAAGTATGAGTTAGGGGAAGTTAGGGATGCTTTAAAAAATACAGTAATTGTTATTTATCAAGGAATCACATCTTATTCCTAGAACAGGGGTGGATGAAACTATTGCTAACTGGCCAAATCAAGCCCATGGGCTATTTTTCTACAGCCTGAGAGTTAAAAATGGTTTTTACATTTGTAAAAGGTTGTAAATAAAATAAAGAAAAATATGGGAAAGAGATTTTATGTGGCTGGCAAAGCCTGAAATATTTACTTACTGGCCTGTTAACAAAAAGTAAACCAATCCCTGTCCTAGATCATTTTTTAGCAGACTTACTGAGACATAATTCATACATTCATGATTTATCCATTTAAAGTATATAATTTGATAGTCTTTAGAATATTCATAGAATTGTGCAACTATCAGCACAGTCTAATTTTAAAACATTTTCATCACTATAAAAGGTAATCTCTTACCCATTTATAGTCAATTCCTATCCCTACCATCAGTCCTCAACAACTACTAATTCACTTTTTGTCTCTATATAGACTGGCATATTCTGGATATTTCATATAAATCTCATCATACAATTTATGATATTTTCTGACTGACTCCTTTTATAATTTTTCAATAATGTTTTTCTAGGTTTTCCAAGTTGTAGCTTGGATCAGTATTTCACTCCTTTTATGGCTGAATACTATTCCATGGTGTGACTATACCACATTTTATTTATCCATTCATCCACTAACGGACATTGGGTTTGTCCAATTTTCAGCTGTTAGTAGAACAGTTGCTGTGATGAACATTCATGTTACAAATTTTGTATGGATATGTGTTTGCATTTCCTTGAGTATATACCTAAGAGTAGGATTGCTGGACCATATGATAACTCTATGTTCATTCATTTGAGGAACTGCCAGCCTTTTCCAAAGCAGCTATACTACCAGCACTGGATGTGAATTCCTTTTTTTTTAAAGGCATGAATCCCATTCATGAGGTCTCCACCTTCATGACTTCAGCACCTTCCAGTTAGGTCCCACCTGCTAATACCTTCACATCTGAGGGTTAGAATTTCAGCATGAATTTGTGGGTGTCACATTTGTACCATAGTACGCTGCTTGAGTGGAATCCCATAGTTTTGGTATGTTGTGTTTTTCTTTTTGTTCATCTCAAAGTATTTTTTAGTTTTCATTGTGATTTCTTCTTTGACCCATTGTTTGTTTAGGAACTTGTTTAATATCCACATATTTGTGAATTTCCCAATACTTATTCTCTTACTGATTTCCACTCTTATTCCACTATGGTCAGAATATGCACTTTGTGTGACTTCAAGTTATTTTAAACTTACTTGATTTGTGTTGTAGCATAGCATATAGTATATCCTGGAGAAAATATATCCTGAGAAGAATGTGTATTCTTTTTGGGTTGGTAGAATGGTCTATGGATATCTGTGAAATATTGAATATTATATATAGTTTTATACAATTGCCTTTTAAAATAGTTAAGAGGCAAAAGAAGAAATATATATTTATACTGTCTTTTGTAGTTACATAATTACTTTTACCAGTACACTTTGTTTTTTTCATTTGGATTCAAATTGCTGTTTGGTATCACTTGCTTTCAGCCTGAAGAACTTCAGCATTTTTATAACAATGGTTCTGCTAGCAACAGATTCTTCCAGCTTTTGTTCATCTGGGAATTTCTTTATTTTTATTTCAATTCTGAAAGATACTTTTGCTGGATATTAGATTCTTGGGTGACTGTTATTTTTGTTCATCACATTGAATCTGTTATCCTACTGCCTTATTCACTGAGATTCTATATTTTCTGAGGCATTGTCATCATACTTTCTTCTTTAAATGTGCTTTCCTTTAGTTGTTTTAACATATTTAAAATAGCTGCTTTGAAATCTGTCTGCTAAGTCAACATCTGGACCTTTTCAAAGTCAGTTCCTATTGCTTTTTTTTTCTGCATGTAAGTCATACTTTTCTGTTTGTTTGCATATCTCATATTTTTTGTTGAAAACTGGACATTTTAGATAATAAAGTAGAATGTCTTTGGATACTGATTTCCCTTTTGGGGTTTTTAGTTAGTATTTGTTTATTTGTTTAGTGACTTGGTTATGCTAATTTAGTGAAGTCTATTTCTTCCAGTTGTACAGAAGTATATAGCTCTTTGCCTCAGAGGTCACAATCTTTGCCTGTGTAGTCACCCTGACCCCTTCTCTACAATGGGATGAAAGTGGTTTTAAAAGGGCTTTTTGTTTTTTGTTTTTTTATTAAAGTATCATTGATGTACAATCTTATGTTGGTTTCAAATATACAACACAGTGGTTCAAGTTACCCATATTATTTAAATCCTCACTCCCTCTAGTGCGGTCACTATATATCAACATAGTAAGATGTCACAGAATCATTAACTGAATTTTCCATACTGTACCATCCTGTGACCAATCTATATTGTGATTGTAAATTATTGTGATTGTAAATTATTGTACCCCTTTATCCCCTCCCCCAACACCCATCCCAACACCTTCCACTTGGTAACCACTAGTCCGTTCTTGCTGTCTATGTGTCTACTGCTCTTTTGTTCCTTCTGTTTTTTAGCAGGGTTATTTTTTACTGTTTCTTGCCCTGATCTTCCTGTAAAGCTTCTGAGTGGTTTTCTTAAATTGGTATCAAACCCAAATGATTAATTACTGCAGTGATTGGTGTGTGTGTGTGTGTGTGTGTGTGTGTGCCTGTTTGAAAATGCTCTTTGGAATAAGTTGCTCCCCAGAATGATCCATTTAAAGTAAGGCCCCTTTGAAGGGGTAGAGATCCCCTTTAGCTTTCACTTCCCCCAGTTCTCTCTGTAAACTTCTAGCTGATCTACTTTTTGCTTGTTGATATGATTGAGCTACCAGCCTCCTATTAATTGCTTGACACCAAAATCTCCATGTTTTTTTGTAGTGGCCTTAAACTTGAACTTCCCCAAGCTCTGTTCCAATTAAAGTCAGTATCCTTAGGGAGAACTACAGAGATCACTCTTCTAATAGCCTACCTCTTCTCCTGAGCACAAACTCTATAATGCTGTCTTGGAGATGGAGGCAGGGATAGTGGCCCAGCTCTGCCAGAGTGATAGTCCAGCTCTGTGAGTGAGATCCTGGCCAAGACTTGTAGTCCCTGGCATTCTTGGCTTCCTTGTCCAAGCATGGAAACTCTATACTATAAGCAAGCTGAGGCAAGGGCACTTGAGATGAAGTATTTTCAGTTTACCATGACTGATATGGTGACTGGGTAGAGAGAGATAACACCAGGCCTCTCAGTTGTGCCTGTTTACAGTAGGGCTTCTGCAGTACAAACCTGGGGGAGGGAGATGAGAAATGCTAGCACCATGCCCCTTCTGGGAATCCATAGCCTGGAAGCTGAGGGTAGAGGGAACCCCATCTTCTTGGGCACACCCATCTAAAGGAGAACTGACACTGAGCTTGGGAGATTGGTAAGCAGATCATGGCTCAACTGCCAAAGGTGCTCACTGTTCTTATTTGAGACTTAGTAGATTTCCTGGAATAGAGGTCTCCCCATTTGCTTTATGCCATTAGGGAAATTTTCTCAGATTTTATGTGGTTGTGTTTTATAAATTTCACCATTTACAGTTGTTTTGCTGAGGAGAAGGTTCGTGGAACATCTCACACCACCAATCTAGAAGTGCTTCTCTTCTGTACTAGATTATTAAATTTATAATGCTCAAGATTTTCTATGTAATCCCCATTTTCCTAGGACATTAAAGAAAAATATAGAGGCTAATACTTCTTTATAAATTTAATATACCTTTTTATAATTCAAAAATGTTCAGTTTAAACTATCATTTTTATGTAATTTTATTTTTAACTTTTTAAAGAAAATGATATGAGATTATTTTTAATTTCTTTGAAGTTTTGTTTGAGACTAATTTTCTCATTGTATTGTTGCCAAATAGACCAGGTTCCTGAGTCGTGCACTAGAGCAGATCTGTAAATGCAGAGAGATCTGGAATCTCCTGAAAGAAGCAGGTACGGTGGGAACTGGGAGTATGGTAACACAGTTATTAAGGAGTTTCGAATCTGAGTAACGCAGTCTTTTATCACCAGAAATTTGTGCCACTGCAGTATTTGATAACCAGTCAAATGATTCTTTAAAAACTATTTTTCCCCAGTGTATGTCTTTATTTTGACTGTATGACACAATACTTGGAGTAAAAATATATTTTACCTGGCTTTTTATGGAAGTGTAGTATTAAATATAAAAATAGGATTATTATTGTTCAATATGACATTATTACTCTTAAGTCATTAGATTTAATGTCTAATTAATCAAACTTTAACTCTAAATGTAAACTTCAGTCTTCCAAACCACAATCATATCAGATACTGTTAACATTTTGTTATGAAATAATCAAAATAGTAGGAAACCTTTTTAAGTTAAATAGTAGCATACTACTGTTTCCTCATAAAGGATGGTATTGGCTTTTAGGTTTAGATAGACCTTTTTTATATTGTGTCCATCTGTTCCTGTTTAATTAGAATTTTTTAAAACTCAGTAGACATTGAATTGTATTAGTTTGCAGTTTCAATAGAGATAATCATATGATTTTTCCCCCTTTGAAGTATTATAATATATTTAATTATAATAATAGATTTCCTAAAATTGAGTCATTATTGCATTTCTGGAATAAACCCTATTGGTCATGGTATATTTCTATTTTCTAAATGTTGATGAATTTTGTTACCTAGTATTTAGAAATTTTTGGTGTGTGATTTTATTTTTGTGTATGTGTGATATCTGATGGATCCTGGTATCAAACCATAGGAATTATAAGGAAGAGCATAAACATAAAATTTGATCACACTTCCCTCAATCAATGATAGGCATTTAAAAGAATAAAAACAACAAAAAGCAAGGTAGAGGATATCTAAATAACATACTTAGTATAGAAAATTTAATAGAAATATACTTGATAGCCTGAAAATAGAAAACATATCTTTTCATGTGCCCTTTGAACATTTATAAAATTTATCACAAGGAAAACCTGAATAAATTCCAAGACATGGAAATAAAGCAGACAATGTTATCTCATCACAATACAGTAAAACAAAGAGTTAATTATGGAATCAGTAAACAAAACCCTTGGCCACTTGGACATTAAAAAATGGAGACTACAAAATGTCTAGAAAATAATAATGGAAATACCTCATAACAGAATCTAAAGTGCTAAAGCAGTGCTTGGAGTGAAATTCATAGCTTCAATGTTTTAATGTAAAAAGTATGTCAGAATGCTAGCTGTCCACTGAAATGTCAATTTCTTCTTTCTAAGAACACAGCTAGACTGTTTACATCTAATATATGTCTATATCTATATTAATTTGTTCTATATATACCATTAGGAAATTGCAAGATAAAACAAATAGATGCCACTACACACCTACTAGAATGGCAAAAATCCAGTACACTGACAACACCAAATACTATCAAGTATATGGAACAACAGGAACTCTCTTTCATTGCTGGTGGGAATGCAAAATGGAACAGCCACTTGGGAAGACAATTTGGCAGTTTCCTACAGTACTAACCATATTACCATACAATCCAGCAGCCATGCTCCTTGATACATACCCAAAAGGACTAAAAACTTCTGTCCATACAAAGACCTTCACATGCTTGTTTCTGGCAGCTTTATTCATAATTACTAAAACTTGGAAGCAACCAAGATACCCTTCAATAGGTGAATGAATAAATAACTGTGGTAAGTCTAAACAATGAAATATTCAGAGCTAAGAAGAAATGAGCTATTAATTCATGAAAAGATATATAAGAAATTTAAAAATGTATATTACTAAGTGAAAGAAGCCAATCTGAAAAGGCTACATACTATATAATTCCAACTATATGACATCCCAGAAAAGACAAAACTATCTCCATAAAAAGACCTCCAATCAAAAGATCACTGGTTACCAGGGATTTGTTGGGGAGAATGGGATGAATAGATAGAACACAGAATTTTTAGGGCCATGAAACTGTTCTGTATGATACTACCAATGATGGGTACATGTCATCATATATTTGTCAAGACCCATACAATAAACCATAATGTAAACTGTGGACTGTGGGTGACATGATGTGTCACTAGGTTCACTGTAACAAATGTACCACTATAGCACAGTATGTCAATATTGGGGTAAGTGGTGGTGGGGAAATTGGGTGTGCTCTGTGCTCCATGCAATTTTGTTGTGAGCCTAAAACTGCTTTAAAATAATGGCTGTTATCCAAAAGGCAAGAGATAACAAGTACTGGGTAGGATGTGGAAAAAACATCCTTGTCCACCATTGTTGGAACTATCAATAGGTATAGCCTCTACAGAAACGGTATGAAGGTTTCTCAAAAAATTACAAATAGAACTAGCATATTATCCAGCAACCCATGTCTTGGTATATACCCAAAGGAAATGAAATCACTATCTCCAAGAATTATCTTCACCCCATGTTCATTGCAGCATTACTCACATCAGCCAAGACATGAATATAATCTAAGTGTCTATCAAAAGATGAATGGAAAAAATAAAATTTGGTACATATACACAATGGAATATTCACCCTTAAAAAGGAAGAAAATCCTGCCATTTTCTTTTTCTTTTAAATTGAAGTATCACTGGTATACAGCACAGTGGTTCAGCAGTTATCCATATTATTAAATGCTCACCCCCCCACAGTGTGGTTACTATCTATCAAATGTTACAGAATCATTGACTATATTCTCCATGCTGTACTCGTGTCCCCATGACTAACTTATATTATGATTGTGAATTATTGTGCCCCTTTATCCGCTTCACCCTCCTCCCCAACCCAACCCAACCCAACCCCTGCCCCTTGGTAACCAACAGTAACTTCTTAGTGTCTGTGAGTCTACTGCTGTTCATTTTGTTTGGTTTTGTTTTTAGATTCCACATGTAAGTGAAATTATATGATATTTGCCTTTCTCTACCTGGCTTATTTCACTTAGCATAATACTCTCTAGGTCCATCCATGTTGTCACAAATGGCAGGATATTCCATTGTGTATATGTACCACCTCTTTATCCATTCAGCTATTGATGGACTCGGTTGCTTCCATATCTTGGCTATTGTAAATAATGTGGCAGTAAACAAAGGGCATATATCTTTTCAAATCACAGATTTTGTTTTCTTTGGGTAAATTCCTAGATGTTGAATTACTGGGTCATATGGTATTCCTATATTTAGTTTTTTGAAGAACCTCCTTACTTCTTTCACAGTGACTGCACCAATTTCCATTCTCAACAACAGTGTAGGAGGGTTCCTTCTCCATGTGCTCAAGAACACTTGTCATTTCTTGTCTTTTGGATAGTGGCTATTCTAACTGGTGTGAGATGATATCTCATTGTGGTTTGGATTTGCATTTCACTGATTATTAGTGATGTGGATTATCTTTTCATGTGCCTGTTGGCCATTTGTATTTCTTCTTTGGAAAATGTCTGTTCAGGTCCTCTGTCCATTTTGTTAATTTGGTTATTTGGGTTTCTTTTTGGTGTTGAGGCTTATGAGTTCTTTATATATTTTGGATGTTAACCCCTTATAGATAATCATTTATAAAAATATTCTCCCATAGTATAGGTTGCCTTTTTGTTCTGCTGATGGTATCCTTTGATGTACAGAAGGTTTTTGTTTTGATTTTGTCCCACTTGTCCATTTATGATTTTGTTTCCCTTGCCCAAGATGTGTCCAGGAAAAAATTACTCCTCCTTGTGTTCAAGACATTTTTGCCTGTTTTCCTCTAAGAGTTTCATGGTTTCATGTCTTACATTCAGGTCTTTGATCCATTTCAAGTTTACTTTTGTGTATGGAGTTAGACCAGTTTCATTCTCTTGAATGTAGCTGTCCAGTTTTCCTGACAAAGTTACTGAAGAGACTGTCTTTTCCCCATTGTATATTCATGGCTCTTTTGTCATATATTAATTGACCATGTTTGCATGGGTTAATTTCTGAGCTCACTGTTCCATTGATCTATGGGTCTGGTCTTGTGCCAGTACCATACTATTTTTATTACTGTAGCTTTGTAGTATAGTCTGAAGTCAGGGAGTATAATATACTCAGCTTTGTTCTTCTTTATCAAGAGCGCTTTGGCTATTCGGGGTCTTTTGTGGTTCCATATGAATTTTAGGATTATTTGCTCTAGTTCATTGAAAAATGCTGTTGGCATTTTGATAGGGATTGCATTGAATCTGTAAATTGTTTTGGGCCGGATGGCCATTTTGACAGTATTAATTCTTCCTATTCGTGTCTTCTTTAATTTCTCTCACGAGTGTCTTATACTTTTCAGAGAACAGGTCTTTTACCTCCTTGGTTAGGTTTATTCCTAGGTATTTTATTCCTTTTGAAGCAGTTGTAAATGAAATTGTTTTCCAGTTTTCTCTTTCTGCTAGTTCATTGTTAGTGTATAGGAATGCAACAAATTTCTGTGTATTTTGTATCCTGAAAGTTTGTTGAATCCAGGTATTAGTTCTAATAGTTTCTTGGTGGAGTCTTTAGGATTGTCTGTGTGTAATTATCATGTCACCTACAAATAGTACAGTTTAACTTCTTCCTTACCAATATGAATGCTTTTTATTTCTTTGTGTTATCTGATTGCCATGGCTAGAACCTCCAGTACTATGTTGAGTAAGACTGGTGAGAGTGGACATCCTTGTCTTGTTCCTGATGTTAGAGGAAAAAATTTCAGCTTTTCACCATTGAATATGATGTTAGCTGTGGGTTTGTCTTATATGGTCTTTATCATGTTGAGATATGTACCCCCTATACCCATTTTATTGAGAGTTTTTATCATGGATGTTGAATTTCATCAAATGCTTTTTCAGCATCTATTGAGATGATCATGTAGTTTTTATCCTCCTTTTTATTAATTGGGTGTCAGATGTTGATTAATTTATGAATCTTGTATCATCCTTGCATCCCTGGAATAAATCCCACTTGGTTGTGGTGGATGACCTCTTTGATGTATTTTTA